ACTATCGTGAGCACCTACCAATTTGGTATCAGAGCCATGGTCACCACACATACTGGTCAAGAGACCAACCCTACTGATAACCCATCCAACGTCGCCTCAGAAAATCCTAACCTGCTTGCACACGATCTGGCTTTTATCTCCTCCAAATTAGAGAAACTCGACATATTACAAGAAAAGATAGAAGCCTTAAAAGCATCAGCAATGCAAAGAAGTAGAAGGACTCCAGAAAGCCGATATAGACACTGTAACTGGGATGAGGAAAGTGAAGAAGAATTTGATTATTACAAGAGGGGGTCACATCTGCATCAACCCAAAATTGATTTTCCCAAATTCAACAGTGATGATCCCCGAGGATGGATTCTTAAAGCTGAAAAATATTTTCAATATTATCATACACCAAAAGAATCAAAGGTGGATATAGCATCTATGTCATTAGAACGAGATGCTTTGGATTTATTCTCATGGTTAAATTCAGCGTGTACCTTACTGTATTGGGATGAGTTAGTGAAGGCGCTGCAGGAGAACTACGGACCACTTGAATACCAGAACCCAAACGAATATTTATGCAGAATCAAGCAAGACGGCTCGATACAAGAATATTGACAGGAATTTGCAAGGCGTATCCCAGAGTAAAAAACTGGCCTAAACACTGCCTTCTTGGCGTGTTTCTCAGTGGGCTAAAGGAGGAGCTCCGATCTGACGTTCGAATTCACAAGCCCAGGAGTGTATATCGTGCGCTCAACCTTGCTCTAGAATTTGAAAGGAAGATGACCTCAAACAGACCCAAACTAAATCTAGGTCAAAACCTGACTCAACCTTATTATGGGTCCTCAGCTACCGCACGCAACTCGAATCAACCACAAAGGAGGTCAGTTGGATTCTCACCATCGAACACGAGCCTAAACACGTATAGGGCCCCGATGCATATTGCATCACCCTCAGCCTCCCTCACTCCAGCAAACGTGCATCCCTCCAAGCTATCTCCAGGTAAGATCGAACATTAGAGAAGGAGAGATAAAGGATTGTGCTTTCGCTGTAGAGAGTAGTTCCGGCCTGGGCATCGATGTAGGGGTTCCTTCTCTCTAATGGAGATCACCGAGGAAGGAAAGGAGAGTTTTCCTCATCTGGATGACATTGCTCTCGAAGAAATAGAACCTGAGGGAGCTGAAATTTCACTAAATGCCATCCTAGGAAATAATTCTGGCTCAGCAATGAAATTAAGTAGCAAATTAAGCTCTAGACAGGTGTGATTATTGGTGGGTAGTGGATCCACACATAATGTTATTTCTAATGCATTAATTTAGGAGCTTCATCTACCTACCCAGTCTATTTCCACTTTTGGGGTCTAAATAGGCGATAGCAGTATTGTGTGGTGCAACTGAGTCTGCAAAAATATTAAAGTAGAAGACAGGATTAACTATTAAAGAAGAATTTTTCCCCTTCACTCTAGGGGGTGTTAATCTAATTCTCATTATTAAGTGGCTAGCATCTCTCAATACAGTGCAAGCCAATTGGAATCAACACTTCATGATTTTTTGGGTGAATGGCAAGAGATATAAGTTACAAGGAGTTCCTAATGTTGCTAAAGGTGCTCAATTTAATTCAATGCAAGCTTTTGCTGACCCTAAACCTTCCCAATATTTCAACCCAAAACATTTATTTGTCACATTCCCCGTCGTTTTTTAGGAACCCACAAATTTGCCACCATTCAGAAATCACTCTTATACCATTACCCTACAACCAGGAGCCAACCCAACCAATTTACAACCCTATCGGTATCCTCCTTATCAAAAAATTGAGATTGAGAAACAAGTCAAAGAATTACTATAAAAGGGATTTATCCGACCCAATTCCAGTCCATTCGCTAGCCCAGTCTTATTGGTTGCAAAGAAAGATAATTCATGGTGTTTCTGCGTATATTACCAAAAATTGAATAGCATCACCATTCCAGACAATTATCCAATCCCCAACATTGATGAGTTTTTAGATGAGTTACATGGGGCAACGTATTTCTCCAAACTGGATCTACAATCGAGATACCACCAAATTCGGATGTCACCTGACTATATTTACAAAATAGCATTTCGAACTCACTCCAGGCACTATAAGTTCACAGTCATGCCTTTCAGCTTAACTAATGCACCAGCCACCTTTCAAGTAATCATGAACGATTTATTTTATCCCTATTTGCAAAAGTTTGTAATGGTCTTTTTTATGACATCTTGATCTACAATTCATCTCTTCAATAACACCAAGAGCATCTACACACTGTATTCTAGACTCTATAGGAGAATGTATTTTGTGTAAATTTAAAAAAATGCTTCATTGGACGATCAAGAGTTCCCTTTTTAGGGCACAACATTTCTGCCCAAGGGGTTGAAGTTGAGGCTAAAAAAGTAGAGGCAATACGAGAATGGCCTGTCCCTAAGAATGTAAAGGAGTTACGTGGATTCTTAGGCCTTGCAGGATATTATAAACGTTTTGTGAAGAATTTTACGATTATTACATGACCACTCACTGAGTTGACTAAGAAGGATGCCTTCTTATTGTCTAAACTAGCTCAGCAGGCTTTTAATCGTCTTAAACTTGCATTGATAACGGCACCTGTCTTACAGTTGTTGATTTTAAGGCGGAATTTGTAGTTGAATGCAATGCATCCACAGAAAGGATTAGAGCGATACTCCTTCAAAACAACCATCCCATTACTTACTTTAATAAAGGATTTTCATTCTCTAATTGCTTCAAATCCACTTATGATCGTGAACTCCCAGCGTTAGTTCTTGTAATACAAAAATGGCGCCATTACCTCCTTAAAAGGCATTTTTTTATCAGAACAGATCACGCTGGTCTTCAATATTTGCTACAACAACGCATTACCACCAACACCCAACAAAGGTTAATCATTAAGCTTTTACCATTTAATTTTACTATCATCCACAAGGCAAGAGTGGAAAATAAGGGAGCTGATGCATTATCACGACAACCACAACATGCAGATTTTTTTCAGTTGGCAATCCCTTTTGCTACAAAGCTTCATGTCCTTATCTCTGAATTAGCATTAGATCCCTTCACTAAGGAAATAATGTAGGACTTACAGAAAGATCCGTCATCTCGACTTAGATTTCACTTGGTTGATCAAAAACTCTTTTATGACCACAAAGTAGTCATTCCCTACTCATCCTAACTACGACCGAAGTTACTAGTAGAAGCCCACTTGACTACAGTTGGGGGACACAGTGGTTTTCTTAAAACATTCAAGCGAATATCAAAGAACTTTTATTGGCCTACCATGAAGGCCAATGTAAAGACATATGTGAGGCATTGTGCCACTTGTCAATAAAATAAGTATCAAACTTTGGCACTAGAAGGACTTTTGCAACCCTTACCCATACCTTCCCAAATTTAGGAGGATATCTTACTTGATTTTATCACTAGTCTCCTTAAGTCAGGAGGTTTTAAAATCATCTTGGTAATAGTAGATCATTTGAGTAAGTATGCCTATTTCCTTGCTCTTGCGCATCCATATACTGCCAAAAAAGTGGCCACAATCTCTTATGAGGAAATTGTCAGGTTACATGGGGTGCCTCGCTCAATAGTATCTAATAGGGACCCTATCTTCATGAGCTCTTTTTGGCAAGAATTATTCAGATTAAGCCAAACCAAATTAAAAATGAGTACTGCATACCATCCCCAAACTTATGGTCAGACAAAGGTGGTTAACCGCTGTCTTAAAGCCTATCTGCGATGTTTTGCACATGAGCAACCTAAATCATGGCACGAGTTTCTTTACTGGGCTGAATACTCCTACAACACAGGTCATCATACATCAACCAAACATTCTCCTTTTAAGCTAGTATATGGAAGAGATCCTCCGCCCTTATGTCCTTATATCAGGGGTAAAACCATTGTAGCTAAATTGGAAGATCAACTAAAGACTAGAGATGCAATGCTCAAACTCTTCAAGGATGATTTACGCAAGGTTTAGGACCGAATGAAGGCTTATGCTGACAAATGTCGAAGAGAAGTTGAGTATGCCGTGGGTGATGTAATGTGGCTACGAGTATAGCCCTTTCATCAACAATCACTGACCAAGAGGAAGTTTGAAAAATTATCATCTCGCTTCTTTAGTCCTTACAAGATTATTCGAAGGATTGGAAAGGTGGCCTATGAGTTGGAACTTCCTGCAGATGCTCGTGTTCATCCTATTGTTCATGTATCTCTTTTATGCTTGGCGTATGGAATGGAGGCGCCAATTACACCAGCTTCTTTACCATTATCGACTGATTTTGAGTTACATGTGAGGCCCCCTCAAGTCTTAGATCATCGTTGGACCTATCATCATTCGCTTGAGCTATTGGTGGAATGGCATGGGCGACCTATGGAGGAAGCAAGCTGGGAGGACTACAACCTCTTGCATGTTTAATTCCCCTCTTTTCAACTTGAGGACAAGTTGAGTTTTCAAGGGTGAGGTAATGATAAGATTCCAGATAACATGCCCATGAAAATTATTCAAGAAAGAAACATCAAAAGATAAAATAAGATAAATTAAGATAATTAAGATATATTATTTGATTCAGTATTTTATTTAGCATTTTCCTTTATTTAGTTTTTATCTAAATTTTCCTAGATTTTATTTAGTTGTTAGATTTAATTCAGTATTTTAGATATTTGGATTTTTTTAGTATTTCGAATTTTAGGAGAATCTATTTAGTTATCCAGTTATCTAGATTTTATTTAATATTTTATTGTATTTAACTTTATAAATATGACTAGCAACTTAAAAGCTAACATATCATGAATTAATAAATTAGTCTTTCAAACTCTTTGAATATTCTCGCAAGCATGACTATTGAGAGAAATATAGAATGAAATTCTTGTTTTATACCCTCCTAGTAGATTTATTTCTCTTATTTCATTTTACTATTGTGAGCACCTACCAAAATGCCACCTCGGGCGACACTAGCTAAAATTTCTTTGAAACTTAAAACACTCATAGGACCAGCATGAAATATTCAATATATTCAAACAAAACTTACTATCTTTCACTTCCAGCTCAATGTAGCAGTGACATCGGGCAGCTCAGGTAACATGAAACCACTGACATGTTCGATCATTAAGATTTAAACTAACATAAAAAAAAACCATGAATATTGTTCACATGTAAAGATCACTTAGAAATCAGTCACGCTCACTAATAGCAGTCAAGTGTTCATCGATCTCCTCCGTGGATAAAACCCTGAACTTTGGATTTTCCTTTTGCACTACTCCTACCTGCAAAATGCATATAATACAATATTACTGCCATACAGATAGATGAATCAAATATAAAAGGCAATTTTCCCCTAATAATCAACAAAATATTATAGCGTGCACACGTGCACCCGCACATGTAGGGGTACACGCAAGCACGTGCACATGCATATACACGCATGGCTTGTGCGCACGCAACACACACACACACTAACTACAGGCAAGGGATATTCACTTCGGCTAATTAGAAGCAATAAAGAACGTGAGGAACAGAAGTCAAGAACATTCAAAAGGGTAAAACCAGTTGAGCAGTGAGAAAGTTGGGAACGCAAATTTCTTTCAGTCACCATTGCAAAACTACAATCCAGCTCAAAATGGGAAAAGAAGCCTCTCAAGTCAGAAGAATAGAGTTATCATCAAATTGAAATAACGTGGTAGTCACTTGTAAAATTCATCAATAGGCAGCACCACAGCAATCCATTCCCTTCCATTGAAGATGAAGCACAATTAACTCACCGTTATCTTCTGATTTGATAGCAAAGAAATACATTAATTAAAACTCTCCAGGGACTAACTCAGCCTTGAGATTATCCAGGGAGAAAAAAGATCATTTACCATACTTTGACTACCACGGTGTCACATGCTATAATGCAAGTAAAGAAGAAAAGAATATTAAGTACCTCAATTTCAGTGGCCTTAAAATCCTCCTGCAGAACAGATTGCAGTGCCGATATAGCAGTCTATAAATACAACAAAAGCATCATTAAAAACAGATCCCAGCAGAAACAATAACAGAACTGCTATTATAGCACAAAAGAAAGAATTTACTCTTATCTACATAGTAACGAGAGATTCCATTAAAATCATCGCATCTTAAATTATTATAAAGCATTCTGCAAAATCTTGTGAAGAAAATCCAGTTTGTACAAATGAAATAAGCTAATTATGAGATTGGTTCATCAAATCAAAATAACAGTTAAAATCCTGTATTCATGCTGTTGAGGATACCATGTAATATTCAAAAAATGAAATGATTGAGTCTTTGTGATAAAGGAAAAGTATTTCACATGAAACAAATATTCATTCAAAAAGAAAATGAACAAATTTGATGAGAACCTAAAAGTGGTTACTTCACCATCTCAGTGATATGGCTAGAAGCATTGTTGCTAGATCCTTCATATCATTATTCAGGCAGACAAAACAAAATTTCGCTCGGTACAGGCATCATTAGGAAAACATTTAAAACTGAAATGATTCATCTCAAAATCCACTTGCAAATTTCCACTCTTTCTGCCTTTCAACAAGTACTAATCAGATTTTCAGCATTCAAGCGTATTCATGTTTAGTAGCACCTTCCAAGTTAATAAACCTAAAAGCTATTCCAGGAAAGCAAATTTGTGATAAAATAACAAACTAATTAAAATGAGTAGACAAGGAGGCAAATTGAAATATGGAATTACCAAATTCACTCAATGTCAAGTCTCAAGCCTCAATAGAACAAAAAGAATATATGCAACTAACTAACTAATACATCTCAGGGAAAAAGACACAAGTTTCCAGTCAAAGCATGGCAGAGATCAACCCAACAAAAGGTAGCTCATCGATAGATCATATCAAGTAAGTGCGTAAAACAGGCAGAACTTTATAATTATAATTCTAGAGAAGATCAAAGAACCTAAAAATCCATTACTCATGCGTGGCCCCACAAAACAGGAATTAGAAGGAATCTGATGGTCCACTTCTCAGGCAATTCAATGTGCCCATTCAAAACTCAAACCTAAATCATCTTAAAATGCAACAATACCTGTACTGTCTCTTCATAGGTAAATGAAGGATCATTCTTCATCTTTTTTTCCAAGAAATTAATTGCCTCTTGCTCTTTTAATCCAGCACTGGAGGCCTGAAAACATCATATATCCCAACAAAAAAATTAAGCCGTCTCCAAGCACATACATGCAAAGAATTAAACCCAAGCCGAAGTATCTATCAATGTGTAATGTAGCAATGAAACAAGGAGGACATCATTTGATTATTCAGAGACTGACCACAAGGTGCATTTACAAGACCTAGACTAGAAATGGGGAAACCTGAAAAGGAAATATATGGAGAAAATAGCTTCCGTTCCAGATAAGGATAAGTGAAATGGGGACAATGGACCATATGACCCAGCTAATAATTTAATACTTTATAACAGAGTCTATCATCATAACAACAACAACAAACCTTATCCCACTAAGTGGGTTCAGTTACATGTATTGCACGATGTTATTGTGCTCTATCATTATAGAGATATTCCCTCCATCATCATAACAACTCAAATTTATTTTTAGTTTGAGATTGTGAGAATAATTTTACTAACAATAATTATTAAAAAATTTCACTATGTCTACCGTCTCCACTGTATAACCCAGCTTTAGAAATTCTATTCTAAAAAATAAATATATAAATAAATTGTTTCCTCTTTCACTAACCATACCTTCATCAATACCACAATTTAATTCCGGTATATCAATTGCACAGATACAAAATGAACAACTTTGCCAAAGTATAAGCAAAAAATGTTAATCATTGATACTATTTTTGCCTCATCTAGCAATACCCATCCTATACATGTCATTGAGTGCAGGGTAATATTAGCAATAAGGAATTCCATCGCAAGCTCTATGGTGTTAAAGATATCCTTAGCATATCTTTGTGTCTTCTTGCACCACAGTCCACAGTATATCTAACATCAGTATAATTATAAAGCAAGATGATCTCAAATGTACCTTGTGACCAAAGTAATGACCAGCTGGATCACATTTATAAAGTCGAGGTCCATATTCTTCATCAATACCCAAGACCATAGCAACTTCAAAATGCAACAGAATGGAAATAAAAAACAAGAAACCAACATCAATAATGAGAACTTTAAGTAAAATACAGTGCAAATTACTCTATTCCCTCCCAAAGATGGCTTAATTACATGACTCTCCCCTACTTTATGAAAAAAATACACATAGAACTTCCCTAAAACCAAATAAAACTAAAGTGCCTTCAAGCATTTGATTGTAAGATTATTACTTTTACAATTAAAAAGCATATTTATTTGCTTTCAATAATTATTTATTTTTTTGTGAAAAGAGTTCAAAATTTTTTTTATTTGGTCAACATGGGTTCAGTTGTATCTTATCTTTTGGTTTTACAGGAAGCCTATATATATTTTCATACGAGAAGAGGGGTTGGGAACCTCAAAAAATTAACAATAATAATCTGACCAAGCTTAATTTGATGATTAAATCTTTCTCAAAAGAGATTTTATCCCCTTCCTTTCAACGAGAAGGATGAAAAACAAACCTACTCCAAGCGGTCTCATGTAAGCATGCTGAGTGTAGATCTGTGACTTGTCAGCAATCCTAGGAAACAATAATTTCCAACAATGGTCAGATAGATGTATTGGTAATGTGTCAAAATCTAACTCCAATGTTATAATTCAAATAAATTATCCATTAAAAAAATTATCACAATCAATGTCAAGGTCCAAAGCATAAAAATAAAAAAGTAAAAATAAAAAACTGATTTATTGCAACTTGCAACCGCCCATATTATCCTATGCTGTTATGCATAAAAGAAATCAACCTGGCAGCCAACATAAGGACTAAATTATGCTGCCCATGAATTCTTCAATCATATCAAAGAAATAAGGGTAATGTATGATGCCATGACCAACTGAGAGCAGCAAAAGTTTGATATGCCATTCAATCAGAGAATCTCAATCATCAGACAACCAATATATGGCACAGTGGATCCACACCCAGTGACCAAAGAAAAAGGTGACGCCTAACAAGCTTATAGCTATCCAAAAGTAAAATTGCAGCCAGAAATGCTCTCTTTATCCAAAAAAAAAAAAAATTGCCGCAAGAAGTAAATATGGAAGCTATTTTGGGGTTTGTCAGCCTACCTATTATGAAGGAAAGCAACAAGAGCTTCAGCAAAATCCCAGCACACAAGATGCCAGTGGTTGCACCAGAATTTGTGCAAACAACATTTTGCATACAGAATGGAATATTCAAAACACCCGGTTTAGACACTACATATTTGAAGGATACTGGAAATATTCTTATGTACTGTTCCGTTGTATAATATGTGAATACCACAAAGTCAGGGTGCGGTAAACATTTGTCAGTACAAAAAAAAAAAAAAAGGCCATATGAATTACAGAAATTAAACGAATTAATGAGTGCAAAGCAATTGTAACTGATTATCTTCTTTAAAAGTAAACAACTTACCATTTGGCCAACACATCGACAGGCATCTCATATCCATATGTAAAGCGAAACTCGGCTGCTTCATTCCTTGCTTGCTGAACCAGCGTCCTAGCATCAGCTGGGAAGTAGCATGATGAAGTAAGCGTGAGCTCTGAATGCCAAAATTTCTTTTCGTTCAAGATATATTAAAAGAATAATGTAAATGTTACTTCTCATATTAAAGTTCTATTATACAACAAAGAATCATGTCAACATCTCATAAAGTCAAGCCTGCTCCAAATGCAACGTTTCCAGTGACGTTTTCTAGAATACCCACGACAAAGTCATTCTGTTGAGAGTATGAATTTCAAACACCTCAATTAACTCAGTCTGACCTGTTATCCCAGTTGCCAATAAACCAAGGTACTCTGTGATGGGAAATAGATGAGTAACACTTGTCTGATCCAAGAGCTTGTCCTGCGGAAAATTATTCATTTAAACCAATTTAGACTCACAGCTTGCACAAATACCCAAAGCAGCCACAAATGGCGTAACGCACTCACCGGAACCTTTTTCTGGGTAACAACACAGACGGAATCCTTCCCTCGGACGCCAATTGAGGTAATACCAGCAGACTTAACAGCCTTAAAAGCATACTCTATTTTGGCATTTAGAAAACCCGCAGTCAATAATTAAAAACTCTTCAGGCTAAAACTTGAAAAAGAAATCAACAACAGAAGTTCGAGAAATTTTTTTTTTTAATTGAGCCAATATGAAGAGGTTCTAAATCGTAAAACATTGTTCCTTTGTATTGAAATATGAAGCCCCAAATCAGAATAAAACTACAGCATGAGTTGGAGGCAGTAGAAGTTCCATACCCACTTGGAAGAGACGACCTTCGGGAGAGAAAATAGTAATATGACGATCGTATCCTCCTCCACTTCCTCGACTCATGGTTAAGGTACTTAGTGCGGTGACTCAGTCTTCGTGTTTCAGACCGAAGACGACGAACTCTAACTCGAACTCGAACTCGAAGAGCAGCGCAGAAACATTTATGATTTACCCTTCAGCTTTGAGACCGCGATCGCGATTGGAAACAAGTCTGGCACTGGCACACGCTGCTTAAGCAAGTAAAACGGTGTCGTTTATTCAGAATTGACAACAATTCGCTAAAAAATGGTTCATGGCAACGAGTTACCATTTAAAAATATAAAATATTTTTAAAAAAATTATATATTAAAAAATATAAAATATTTTTAATATTTAAGATGTAATTATTATTTTTTTAAAATATTTTTATTAATAATAACTTTATATTTATTATAGCGTGTTTAATATGGATAAATATGAAAAGATATGATTAATTTAAAAATAAGTAATTACTTTATTGAAGGTGAAATTCGATTAAAAATATTTTATATTTTTAAACATAGGAAGTACATGTTTCTCTTTGATTTCATTTATAAGTAAAATTGAACGTTTATTAAAATTTGTCATAAAATTAATATGTATTTTTATTAGACAAATTTATTTTATTAATTACAAGAATAATTTAATTTAATTTTTTATTTTTATACATAATTATCATGCCCAATCAGTAATCAACTTTCTTAACTTATATGAATTAGTTATTTTCTTCTATATTTAGAATGAAGGTGGTAACTTGGAACTTGATTACCATAATTATGCGTCTTTTTTAAAAAATAAATCATCAATTTTGTTATGATTTTTTAAGAAGTTAATTTTTATGAATAATGGTAGAATTTGATAAATATAGCCTACATTGGATAACATGATTTATTTTTTTATATGATTACATGATTTATTTGTCCATATTAATTTATTATAATATTTATTTTATCGGTAATTATAATTGTCGTGTCAATGAATTCTACCCCTGTGAAATCAAGAGTTTGCATTTAGATGACACATGCGTGACTTACTGGTCGACAATTTATGTTATGCATCTCACAAGTCAACATTCTAATGAATAATAATTAGTTCAGTAAACACCACATCATATTATATAGACTATAAGTAAACATGGATATAGGTTTTTTTTTTTTGGGTAAAAATTTAAATAAGTTGTGCTCTAGACTATAGCTAGCTCAGTGTTAAAAACTCATTCCAAGTGTAAGTCGCATTTTTGTGAATTGAATAAATCTTTATTCTCAACAAAATCTTTTGTTGAAGAAACTTTAATTCATGCATCAAAACTATGTCCATAGTGTAAGCAAGCAATGAATGACGAGTGCAACTTTTTTTTTTTTTTTGTAAATTACAAGAGCAAATATCAAAGTTAAAATTATAAATCAGATTGAACTTACGGCCTTCCACGTACAAAAAAGCTGCCATGGCACAGAATGTCCCAACTTAACCTGAACTTACAGACCCTTTCTTGCGCACAAGAGTGCAAAGCCCTAAATTCTAAATTCTAAATTCTAAATATACAAAATTGTAGTATACAGGCATGGGCGAGCTCCATCAAAATTCATATTTTGTTCAGGCTAGGACCAGGTTCATGTCATCTTCACATACAGTCTTTGGGCTTCTGTAACAAAATTCAATATCAAGGTCAAAGCCTACCTCAGTTGCTAACTTAGATTTTCGATCCTAAAAATTTGTTTTGGGCTCAAGCCCATACCTTGGCCCAATTCACTTAGGTTCAAGGGCAGCTTCCTCGTTGCTTTTGATGGCAATGTTAGCGCCTTATAATAGGATCTAAATCTATATATTAAATGCCCAAGATTAATTCAATTGATAAAAAAAGATTGTAAATTTAAGTCGCACATCATGGATATAAGAATTTTATTGATGGACAATCTATAAATACTTCTTAAGCACTGGATGTAGGAATTTTATTGATGGATAATTTATAAATACATATTTAAATGTTATTTGAGCTTGTGAGTATATCCAATTTTGGTGAACCATCGAAAAATAATTCACTTAAACTTTTATTTGATAGAATAAACAAATCTATATGGTTGGTAATATAAAATAAATTATTTGAGAAACCATCTATATGTTCATCGTTTAGCAACAAATAATGCCTTTAAGGGTGATTAAAATGGTAATAAAAATGACTGGGAACATGAATGAAGATACGTTCTTTCAATCAAGCCCACATTTGGCCAAAAACAAAATCAAGCCCACATGGCTTCCCATTTGGTAAACCTCTTTCTTTCTGGGACTTGCCTATCTGTTCATCTCAATCCACCATATTTTTTTTTTATTGTTTATAAGTATGGCTATCAGACCGGCAATGTTATATAGTAGTGAATGCTGGGCTCTAACGGGACAGCAAGAGCATAAAGTTGGAGTAGCAGAGATGAGAATGTTACGATGGATGTGCGGACATACACATAAAGATAAAATTCGAAATGAGCACATACGCGAAAAAGTGAGGGTGGCACCTATTGAGGAAAAAATGGTAGAAAATCGGTTGAGATGGTTTGGGCATATACAAAGAAGACCAAGGGAGGCATCAGTGAGAAGAGTGGAACATATAACTTTGAGTCCGATTAAGAGAGGTAGAGGAAGGCCTAGGAGAACACTCTTGGAAGTTGTTGAACGTGATCTCTTAATTAATAATATTTCTAAAAGCTTGATAAATGATAGAGCACAATGGCGTCTTGCAATCCATGTAGCCGACCCCACCTAGTGGGATAAAGGCTTGTTGTTTGTTATTGTTGTTGTATTGTTTATAAGTATGCTTTTATTAAAATTAATCATATTTGAAATATGATTAGGTATTAAATGTAAGCATCTTTTTCAATGAATTCAAACTTTAATTTGCTATATTATGAAATATTAACTCCTACTACTGGATACAATTCGTAGTCTTGATCCATTGCCTTTATATTCATTCCTTAACCATCTTCCTGATGAGCTCCCTTACATCACTCCCCATTATTATACAACAATAAATATAAAATAGAATAAAAAATAAATTAAATTACACATGAGATTGAGCTGGCTCATTGAACACAAATCCCAATTTGTGAGTGGTCCAAGTTAAAGAGATTTGTTGGCAAATGGGAAGTTTAAGGGATTTGATCTTCCATAATCATACTTGCCCGGGGCTTATTTTTATATGATTTTCGTCCAAAGATATGTAACCGCGAAAATCGTGCTTGTTTCTGTCCATTAATTATTTTAACTACCTTGGTTTTCTTCTTTCTTCTCAAACCTTCCTCGCACAATTCACGCCTCGAGTTTGAAATCCAAAGATTCAGAAAATCTTTACTCTAAAACAATACAAGAGAAATCTAGCATTAGACATTCAGGCGGCCAGTGTAGTGGTCGATTGCATGTGCGTTGTGTCCAATAATAATAGCAATAATCAAAATAATTGGCAAGAGATTAGTTTCTTAAATAGCATGTTGCAAACAGCATCCATGGTTTGAAAATTTACGACATACATATGTGTCCCGAGAGAAATATACAAAAGGCCATTTCCTGGAACAGAAGCTTGTGCTTCGAATCAAGTCAATTTTGAATATTTTATACATATCAATATAATTTATTAAAATTAATTCGAGTTTGTTAAAAACATTTCAATATTTGTTGTCACTTTTGAAAATGACTCTCATTAAAAAAAAAAATTATAGACCGTGAAGGCGGATGAACTAGTAATTCTTTATTGTGTTCTACATATCCATGTTATCTATATCTCCTTGCACACTACATTTTGTATTTTTTTTTGGTATTATATCCATACTTCATTTTTAACGTACTTTAATTATTTATTATTCTCAAATTCTCCAAAATTTCGGTTTCTACGCTTTCAAATATAAAATGCGAGTGAAATTAAACCTATCACATTTTTTAATTATTATAAAATAATTTCATGGGTTAAAGGCCATATAATATTCAACCTGGCTGTGCATATAATTAGGGCTAACCTTCCAAATACTACCCCACTAAAAGCGTAATTAATCAATATTCTTTATGTTTTCAATATTATAAGATATTTTAATTAATTGTCTTTAAAATTATACACCATTTAACATGTTTACTATCTTATTTAATAGAGTGTCTCAAATTAAAAAAATCCTATTAATTACTCCATTTGATCTCTATTATAAAACATATCTAACTACCTCATTGGAACCAAGTAGAAGTGGTTAAGTTATTAAATTATATGAACATATGATAAACTTTTAATTTTACCCCTATTTAAATAAATTTGTTTTCAAATTTGCATTAATGAATTTAGATAGCGATAATATTAAAAAATATAATTAATATCCTATCAAATGTCTCATATTAATTACCAAAAAATCTTTCCAAAAGTCAAACTACAATAAGGATCAAGGGTACACCCATAATTAAGGGTATGTTTAAAAAAGCCTTAATTAATGGCATATTGAACAAAGGGAGTACAAAACACAAATTATATTTGAAAGTTAATTATATAATCATAAGAGCAGATACACACACACACACATAAAAGTACAAGTCTAAAATGGCAAACTTGATGAAGAGAAAAGGGACGTGTGGCGATTGAGTGGATCTATCAGCACTATAATCCACACAGATGAGTGCCATTGATGATATGTTGTTGAATGATCTGGAGCAGTTCCATCTTACAACCTAGCTCCTGTTCTATGGAGCCCATGAAACACAAAAGCAATAGTATTTTAAAGTGCAACTGCACAAGTTGGAGCAGGTAATCAAATCCGGAACAGGGACATCGTGTCCGGCGAGTAAACGACATTACCACGCGGCTCTTGGATCTCAACGTTGTCGCACGTCCTCGTTCTTATGCATGACGAGATCCGAAACGAGACTCGACCAACCCTATCCCTTCATGCCTGCTCACTTTCGTGTAACACTTTTCCTGCTCCATTTCGTTACACATATGATTTGTGTGCATCGGATTTCTGTTCCCATCTTCCATTCTCGTCACCCAGCCCGTCACAGTTCTCTTTGTTTTCTTCTTCCCTTGCTACATTCTGCTGCTGTCAAAATCCAAAAGCTATAGAGCTCCCTCGCACCTTCTACATCAATCTAAAGACCTCCTCTGATATTATTTACAAGACGGAGATAGAAGGAAATGTTGGTGAGATAAAGTGCATGCGTTGTTAAATTATATG